GTTAATAAATACATCTTTCCAGGCAGGTGGCCCATAAGGGCCAAGCCATTTTACTGTTTCTTAGTAATCATTACCTGCAAGGAAGAGAAGCTTCACAGAGAGGGGGGCAGGAGCAGGGGCGGGATAGGGGAGAGCAGCAGATGGTCAACGTGGGATGGAACAGACTGGCTTATTTGGTATTAAAAACAGTCCAGAGTCTTTCCCAGCTTTGATTAAAGAAGATTTATTCCCTAGACAGCTGGCTAGCACAATCCTCTCAATTCCCCACCCCCTGCTCTTCCTCTCTTTACCCACAGGGCTTTGGGGCCTGAATTCTGTAGGTTTGTACATATGGAGAACAGTGTGGTGTCATCAAAACATTTCTGCCTTCTTGCAGTCGAAATGTTGAGTACAGGCATTGGCCCTTACTGTTTGATCCTGGATATCTCATGTGATGTCTCTGCACCTCAGTTTCCCCATTTATAAAAGAAGGATAAGAATACTTGCCTGGGTTGTGATGGAGAAAATATTTTGCAAACCTTAGAATGCTCTTACATATTAAATCAATCTAGTTTATTTGCTAATTTCACGCTGACAATCACATTTAATAGTTGCCTACTAATACATAATTTTGAGTCATCCCCTGAAATGTCAGCTAGGAGGTGCAATGAATAGATCGCCAGGCCTGGAGTCAGGAAGACTTAAGTTCAAATCCTGCCTTAGATGCTTACTAGCTGTGTGGCCTTGGACTAAGCATTTCCCCTCTGTTAGCCTCAGTTTCCTCATCTGTAAAATGGGGATAATTATAGTACTTACGTCCCAAGGTTGTTGTAAGGATCATTTTAGGTAAAAATTTTAAATCATTTAGTACAGTGCCTGGCATATGGTAAGTACTATATAAATGTTAGCAATTATTATTATTATAAAAATGAGTTAGATCCAAATATGATATCTCCTTTAAAATTTCCCAACCCCCATAAAAAATGGCCCAAGAAATTTGTCATCCTTTCCTAAATAGAGAGACTGAACAGGAAAAAGTGAAATAGTAGAAAAACATTGAACTTGGAGGCAAAAGACTTGGGTTTGAATCACAGCTTTGCCACTTAACTGACTGTGTGACCTCAAATAAGTTACTTCACCCCCTCTGGGCCTCAGTTTCCACATCTGTAAAATGAGGAAGTTGTACTAGAGGACTCCCTGAGATCCTTCTCTGCCTTAAAATTCTGTGTGATACCAGACTACCTTGTGACTGGCAGCATGGGGAATCTGGGCAATATTTTTCTGGAATTTATTCAAAGTTAGAAATACAGAACCTTTATTGTGTTTTGCTGGATCATGGAATTTAGAGATGGAAAGGATCTTTAACGTATCCCCTTCTTCTGTAGATGAGGATACAGAGTTAAGTGACTTTTCCAAGATCACAGGAGTTCAATCACCAGGGACTGAACCCAAGTCTTCTGACTCTAAAACAGTACTAATTCCACTAGTTTATTCCCTTAGAAACTTAAAAACAAAAAAGGCTTTGTAGTTTTTCCAGTGCCTGTTCTAGTTCAAACCTCCCTGATAAAGTATCTGCTTAACTTTAGTTTAAATGGATACTTTGGACAACAGTGTCTCATATCTTAAGGACTTTTTTGAGGTATCTCCCCAAACACTTCTGAATGACAAGCGTATATTCCATGTCTTCTTTTTCCTCAAAAAATGAATCACTCTAGCTCATACAGATGCATGGGCTACAACTCACCATTTCCAAGGAAAGCTAGTGTCTAGACAGTTGCCAAAAAAAATACACATAGATAACTTGCTTGCAGCACATGGGCAGACCACATAATCAGCTATAAACCAAACACAGTATCACCTATCTATCTACCTATCTATCTAGATCTCTATCATCTCTCTATCTCTCTATCTCCCGTTAATGGTAACTGTGAATCAATAACGAGTTGACTTTAGCGTAATCTCCTTTTGCTGATCAATCATTCAATCTAGTGGCCTATTTTATCACTGCGTCTCTCCAAGGATTACTACTGTGGTACCTCCCAGTCTTTGGTTTTATTTTAGGATACCACAAAGCTAGGAGAGTAGAGTCTGGACCAGGAATCCCTCCTTTGTGTTTCTTATGCTGGAATCTGACGGTTCAGCTTGAGAGCTGTGGAAGACCAGCACAAAGACCACCTGAGCTTTGTTTCTCCTGACAACCAAGACTCATAGAGACCCTGAAAAAGAGATCTCAAGATCCCAAAATGGTGGCCTCTGCCGGGCCCACGAATCATACCCAAGCTAGAAGATGAACTCCTTTTCCTGCCATCAGACTGTGATTTGTTTATTTATTTTTGCTTGTCAGGTAACCATATGAACCTACAGCACGATAGAGAAGAGAAATGCTGAACATGCACATGGGTACACAGGCACAGGTGCAAACATGTATGGTGTTTATTATTCAGAATGTTACCATGGGGCAGACCCAATGTCTGGTTTAACTGGGGAAGAGCTGAGAAACACACCTCCATTCGGGGATTGGTGACAAGAAATCCCAGGACCCTTTTCTCTGGAGTCTGTTGATTTTTAAATATTTTTGGTCATTAACATTGTTTTAATCCATTGAGAATAATTCAGGAAGCAATAGTGTTCAATATGTTCAAGTGATAAGCTCTTGTACAAGAAAGGAACAACATTTCTGCCGGGTCTGCCAGGTCATTTCAAGTCTTAAGTCTCATTCTTCCCTTCCCCTAAAGCTGGGCTGACTAGGTGTTTGTATGCCCTAGGACAAGGTTGGGAAATTGGGGGTTCCTTTTTGTATCACATTTGACTTTTCACAAATTAAAGGCCTACAGAGGATGGGAATGAGTTTTTTACCATTATAAATAGGTGCATCTATCACTGGGGTAGGGAACCTGTGGCCTTGAGGCCATACATGGCCTTCTAAGGTCTTTGGTCAGAAGGCTGAACCCCCATGTGTCCAGCTTCCAATTCCACCAGATCATACTCCCTCCTGGAATCTTAGCATTCACTTTCTTTTTTTTTCCTTTTAAATAGTATTTTATTTTTTCCAATTACATGTAAAAATGATTTTTAACAAAATTTTGAGTTCCAAATTTTCTCCCTCCCCTCCTCTCTCCTTAAGACAGTAAGCAATTTGATATAGGTTATATATGTGCAATCATGTAAAACATATTTCCTTATTAGTCATGTTGTATAAGAAGAAACAGAACAGAAGGAAAAATTACCAAAAAAATGAAAATAGAATGTTTCTATCTGCATTCAGACTCCACCAGTTCTTTCTCTGGATGTGGATAGCATTTTCTATCATGAGCCTTTTGGAATTGTCTTAGATCATTGCATTGCTGAGAAGAGCTAAGTCCATCAGAGTTGGCCATCAAAGTATTGCTCTTACTGAGAACAATGTTCTCTTGGTTCTGTTCACTTCACTCAGCATTAGACCATACAAGTCTTTCCAGGTTTTTTCTGAAGTCTGCCTATTCATCATTTCTTACAGCACAATAGTATTCCATCACAACCATATACAACAACTTGTTCAGCCATTCCTTAACTGATGAGCATCCCTTCCATTTCCAATTCTTTGCCACCACAAAAAAAGGCTGCTAGAAATATTTTTGTATATGTGGGTCTTTTTCCTTTTTTTATGATTTCTTTGGAACACAGATATAGTAGCATTGTAGCATTCACTTTCCAAGAAAAATACACACACACACCACTGGCCTTTGTTAATGGCTTCTTGCCCACTAAATATCCCTTGGGAAGTCTTGTATTGATAACTCCATCACTGGGACCATCCAGAAGCTCTGAGAATTGCAGGCAGGGAAACACAGTCATTAGCTGACAAATGGGCATTGTTGGTCTGTTTGATAGAAAAGTGTTTAGATTTGTGTTTGTTTTGCTTCCCCAGTTTAAGATTAAAAAAAAAACAAAAACAAAAACCTAAATAAAATTATCCAAATAACTAACTGTCCAGTTTTCTATTTGTGTCTTCCTCTGTAACTATCTATACCCAAAACATGGTTGGGTCAAACTTAAGTAGAAACTGGGGCCACTAAACTGTACATAAGAAACCATATGTTAACATTCAGTATGTTCAATTATATTTTGATTTATTTTATTGAATATTTCCCAATTACATTTTAATCTGTGAGGGCCTAGAGAATTTGGAAATGGATTGAATTCTTTTGCTGAGGCCTAACAGACAGAATCCTGAATTTGGAGACACCATGATCTAAGTTTAACTTCTGCCTTAGTCAATTTATTAATAGCTGTGTGTCCCTGGGCAAGTCACTTAAACTCTCTTTGTCTCAGTTTATTTATCTGTAAAATGAGGATAATAATAGCATCTATTTCAAAGGGTTGTTGTGAGGATCAAATAACATGTGTAAAGAGTTTCTGCAAACTTATTTAAGAGTATAAAAGATCTGTAGCTTGAACCCAAACCAAAAAAAAAAAAAAAAACTTTCTTTAGAGCTGGAGTTCTTAACCTTTTTTTTTTTTTTTTTTGGTCATGGACCCCTATGGCAATTTTAGTGAAGCCGTATCCACTCTTTGTCAGAATAATGTTTTAAATGCATAAAATACATAGGATTATATGGAATGCAAAAGAAACCGATTATGTTGAAAAATAGCTATCAAAATTTAAAAAAAGAAGTCCACGGACCCCAAGTTAAGAATTCCTTATTTAGAGGGACTGCACTAATTAGAAATTAAAATTTTAAATATTGTTAGGGTCCAAAAAAAAATATCCATTGGAGACTCCTCAGGCACAAATATTCATTTGGGAGTGAATGAGTTAATGGCAGCTAGAAGCCTGAGCCAAGTAGAAAGAAGAAATCAGAAGAAAAGAAAAATTGGGGGAAGAATCTCTCCTTGGGCTATGGAGCCATGTGGTGAAGGGGGCGGGGGAGCCCAGTTAGTAGCCCCTGCAGTGCGCAGCCTCTCACTGCTGCCGCTGGATGGGCCGAGCGCAAAGAGGTTATTTGTGGTTAGCTTTGATCCCAAGGGGGAACCTGAAACTCTCACATTCCTGGCATAGCTGCCGCCTCTTGCACAGTCCAACCTCTGTGGCTCGCGGTACAGCTGGAGGAGCGCAGTCTCGCTTCCAGCAGTCACAGAGGCAGGATCTCAGTGCACGGGAGCTCAGAGCTGCGTGCGGACTTTTCCTTGCGCTCCTCTGATTTTTCCAATTCTTTTTTTTTTAATTATTATTAAAGTTTTGCTTTGGCACTTCGGCAGTGGGGGTAGGAAGGGGCCGCAAATAAGCCAAGGCACGCACGCATTCTGCATTTTTTTTCCCTCCGAAAGAGCTCTGTACGGCTAGCTCCCCGGCGACGTCTGTGTGGCTGGGTCTGAAGTTCTAGGACTGAGGCTCTCAGGCTATGGGTTGGTAAGTTTCACAAGGGAAATTAACGTGTTCTATTTGGAAGCTCGTAGATCCTAGCGCACAGCCAGGAGAGAGGGAGCGAGCACCCCGGCCAATGCAGAAAGAGCCTAGGGGAGGCGAGAGCGGATGATTCGGAGCTGAGAAAGGTCCCCCATTCGTCTGTTCTCCCTACGATAGGTCGCAGTGCTTTTGACTAGACTGGGTTTCTACATTGCGCGACTCTTGCAGGCTTTTCTGCGGTTTAGATGGGCGAAATCTTCCCGTAGGCTGGATCATTCCAGCCTGAGGATACTTGGGGGACAGAAGGGGGGATAACTTAGCTCTTGACCCTGGCTCTTTCAGTGCCCTTGAAGCCTGTGGATTTCCCAGTCTTCTGGTATTTGGAAACGGGAGGAGCAGGAAGGGGAGAGAGAGGGATGGAATTAAATAAAAGGGGGGCAATCCAAGAATTATTTGTTTAGTTTTGAGTTACAGGTGCTTTTGCCCCCCAACTAGTTAAAGAAATCCTCTTTGTCTTGTTTGGAAAAATGCTTTCTGGAGCCATAAGCCTGACTCTCACTTAGAAAGAATGTTAATTGCAGTCCAAACCCTGATGATGTCAGGGCCGAAATATTTGGAAAACAAAGAGGGACCACAGCAGCAAAGGAAATATAAATACTTTTCAGATGGCAATCAGTCGAACACTTTGGAGGTGAATTAATGTTCAAATTGGTTCTAAAACTAAGGAGTTCGGAGGATATTGACTCAGAAGTTATTTGTATGGGGCGGGGGAGATCCAGCTACAATTCTGGGACTCTTGCAGAAGTTGTTAGAAAGCCTGGTTTAATTTAGGCACCTAGGAATCTCAGTATTTTGGAGAGAATTTTCAGGCAGTTTCTTCTCCCACCCCCACTCCGCCTTATTTAGTGGAACATTAAGTGTTAACAGAAAGCTAGAAAATAAATACTTTAGGGGGAGATGATTATTTGTATAATAATTTATAGCTCCAGTCCCCTCCTTAACCCACAGAAAAAGGACTTGTAGTTTATGATGGTCTTGTGGTTTAGTTATTTGATATTTGAGATTAATGTTTTTTCATCAGGGCCAACATTACAAATAAATTATTAGCTTGCCCCCAAGACGCGACAATTTGCATAGTACACCTTGAGAGCTCAAGTGATGGTGTGTCTGAAGTAGATTCTGGATTGTCTTGATATTTATTCTTTCCTGACAGTCTTCATTAGTGAGCCCACCATTTATTAGACTGTGATTACTGTAGAAAATGCCCTGGTAATTATGAAATATAAGGGTGGTTTGACTCCTAAGGATTTTTGTTGGTTCTGTAAATTGTGAATTCAGAATCTCTCCACTCCTGGCCTAGGAGTGGTAGGCTGGTATGATGAAAAGACTGGGTGGAAAGTTATACTATTTATGCAATTTCTAACTTAGCCAAAGATCCTTCCAGTGTCATAGTTGGGTTGTGGAGTTTGGCATAGAATGAGGGGGAAGGGAAGGAGGGTGGTAGTCAGCTAGGTGATATAGTGGATAGAGCCTGGAGTCAGTCAAATCCTGCCTCATGCATTTACTAACTTACTATCAGTGTGACCCTGAGCAAGTCACTCAACCTGGGTCTGCCTCAGAATCCTTATCTGTAAATGGGGGATAATAATAGCATCTACCTCCCAGAATTTCTATGAAGATAAGAAAATATTTGTCAAGTGCTTTGCAAGCCTTAAGGCTCTATATAAATGCTAGCTGCTCTTTATTATTATTATTATTATTATCATTATACCAAACTAAACTGGTGATTTCTAGATATCACATTGGCTTAGAGACTCAGGAACACTCACAAATTCACTCAGCTCTCTGAGATGGTCACTTCAGTATGGCTTGGGAAATATGGCCCCTATTCAAAATCACTATCATAGACTTCTCTTTTAAAAATGAGTTTAATGTACAAATTGATTTGAGTTTTGATGGCTAAAGAGTTGGGGAATGTTGTGGTGATGGTGATGTCTTAGGAGTCAGTAGCTTCCTAGCTTCCAGATATGATAACTTGGAAAGCTCTTCCCTAGAACACTTTAACTGTAACAAGACAACCCCTACTAGACTCAGTTCTGTGCCCTATTGAAGTCATGGAATGGGTGAGAACCCATTGTACTGCCACTGTAGGGAATGTGCTATTACTGTTAATTATGACTACAGCTATTATGAATTACTATCAGCAGACTGAGGAGGACAGCCAGTTAGACTCTGTCCAAATAGTGGGGAAAAAAATATCTAGGGAAATTACCTCTTTGTCATCCTTGACTTCTCTGATGCATTAAGACACTGTGAGTTGGACCAGGTAAAAGGGTGTATGCTTTTCAGCTTATGGGGACCATGTGATTTGACTAGTTTTTGTTGGCAGGACATTCTTGCTCCAATGGCTTGTTAAATAAAGCCTCTGTTCACAATACCATAATTCATATCCGATCCTTTCCTTCTTCATTATCTGGCACTACATATTCATTTCCTCCTTCCCTGTTTCTGATATTCGCTGTCTCAGAATAATCCTCAAGGTCATCCCATGACATTGGTTCAAACATGTCAGCTTAGCTCCTGCCAGTTCTGTTTTGGGGGAAGTAACACCTGGTCAGACCTCCCCATGTCACATAGATGTGAGTTATAGCCTTTTCATGATTAGAATTGGTTCACCTTCACCAGGGAGTGGTAATGGGGCATTTTCTCTAGTTGTCACTGAACTTTTGAACTACAGAGATGGTAGAGCCTACAGTAGAGTTATTGACTATTATTTGGGATTTAGGGCTAATGATACCTTTTTCAGGACAAAACAGAATAGTGGGGTTCCATGAAAATGAAATCCCACTACATAGTGTTTTATGGAAAGTCCTTCTCCCCATTCTCCTGGGCCAGTGGAAGGAGCTCCACCCTTGATGACTCTGTCCTTCCCTTTGCAGGTATTTACCCCTGGCCAATTGCTGTTAGAGCTCCAGGTGATTGTGAGACCTCCAGTTGTTTACAGAAGAGCAAAGAATGAGAACTGTGGAAGATTCTTCAGGGACCGTCTTGCACAGGCTCATCCAGGAGCAGCTGCGCTATGGTAACCTGACGGAGAACCGAACCCTGCTGGCCATCCAACAGCAGGCTCTTCGAGGAGGAGGTGGGGGGAACGGGGGCAGCCCCCGCTCTTCCCTAGAGAGCCTGACTCAAGAAGAGAGTCAGATGGTACAGCAGTCCACCAGGCAGGAACCCCAGGGCCAGGAGCACCATGGCGACCATGCCTACTTGGAGAATGCCCTCTACCGATTCTACCAGCCCCAGAGCAAAGGCGAGGAGCTGCCCACTTATGAAGAAGCAAAAGTCCACTCTCAGTATTACGCCTCGCAAAGAGGACAGCAGGCAGGCTTGCCTTGCCCAGGGGCCCCTGTGGACAAGGAACCCCGTAGGGGCAATGTAGCAAGCAACAAAAGGCAGGATGATTCTCTGAAGGAGCTGAAACATGGGCACGTAAGGTCGCTAAGCGAGCGCCTCCTCCAGTTATCCTTAGAGAGGAATGGTGCCAAGGCATACAACCACATGAGCTCCTCCCACAGCTTTCCTCAGCTTTCTCGCCACTATCAGCTGTCCACCACCAGGGGGCATCACACTGAGGGCCTGGAGCCCCGGGGTCCCCCGCCAGAGTACCCCTACATCATTCCACCACAGGAGCCCTTTACAGGCAGTGACCCCAGGCACTATTCCAGGGGCAGCCCTGATTTCCAGCATCCTGAAGTCAGGTAACTCAACAACAGCTCTCTTATCTTGATTCTGAGACCTTGGGGGGGCTCCACTCCCATCCCCACATTTAGGTTTTCTAAGCTTTCCTTAGAGTCACAGAGCTGGAAGGGACCTTAGAACCTGTCTAGTCCAACTCTATTGACTTTACTGATGAGATTGAGTCCGGGGTTAAGTGACTTGCTGAAGGTCATATAGGAAATGTGTATCAGAAGAAGGATTTGGACACAAGTTCTCTGACTCCCCGAGCCCTTTAACTTGTAATCAGAAAACCATCTGTTCTCTTGTTAGCCTGTGTATGTGTAGCATTCCAGTGACAAGTCTGTCTGAATAAGCCAAAGGCAATAGTATTAGTGGCTGATATTTATATGTGTCCTCCATACATACACATTTTCATAACAGCCTGTGAAGGTAGTAGAAGCTTTATCATCATCATTATTAATACTATTTTGTATTGACTTGCTTAAGATCACACAGGTAGGAGGTAACCAAGCCAAATCTCAAATCCAGGGCCCTCTGCCTCCAAATTTAAAGCTTCAAAAAAAATCAAAGTAGAAGCAGAAAGGGTGAACTTAGATATTAGGGAAAGCATCTAGCAACCGGGGGCCATTGCATGTTGAGGATATGTTTAATTTTTTTAGGATTGATGCCTTTTGTTTTTAGATCACATTTATTTCTGAATATCACTCCCTAACCTCCACTGATAAATTAAAAACGTTCAGCAAGACCAACTACTCCCCAGCCATCTCCTTGAGATGCCTGTAGTTCCGCCATTGAGCCCTAATACTAAGCAAAGATAATAATAACAGCATTTATATAATACCTGCTATGTACCAAACATTGTGCTAGCAAATATTATCCCACCTGATCCTCACAACCACTTTGGGTACTATTATCATCCTCATTTTACTGTTGGGGAAACTGAGGTTAAGAGACTTGCCCAAGGTCACACAGCTAGCAAGTGTCTTGAGGACAGATTTAGACTTAGATCTTCTTGACTCCAGGCTTAGCACTCTATCCACTGAACCAGCTGACTGTCTTTAGATGAGTCTATGCAGAGTCATCTTGAGTTGGGAAGGCTCCTATCTGGAGCCACAGTTTCTACTTTAGAAATGGTGCCTTTCCCTTTCTGCTTTTGCTGCTTCCTTCCATATTAAGGAAGCAGTGAGAGCCGTGGGGGTGGGGCCAGTGTGTATCATTTCCATTTTGTATTTGTCTTCTTTGAAGTTGCATTTCTTTTTCATATTTGAATCTTGTGACTTTGTCTGTGACATTGCAAACCCTTTCTATCTGTTTGTCCAGGGGAGGAAATCCCTTATTTTAATGAACTAAAGATAATGGTTAGAAGCTAGGCTTAGAGAATGTACATATTGGGTAGAGAAGGAGCCCAGCCCCAGTTAAGAACAGGAATAACATGTCTGACTTATAGTTTACAGTTAGGGGTTTGAAATATTGTGTACCTACAATTATCTTTTCAATCTGTGTATCATCTTTTTAAGTTCAGGAAAAGGAACTATTGTCTGTAGGTAAGAATTGGGAAAGGTGAGGCCCAGAGAGTTTGCACCTTATCCTAACCAGCCCTCTAAACTAAAGAGTCTATGGACTTTTAATTCCAAATCATTGATAGATTTTCCCAGAGGGCTGTGAAGTCAAAAGCACCAACTTCCATAGTACAGCCATTGGATCAGAGTAAAACCTTAGAGATTATCCAACCCAGGGGTTCTTAATCTTTTTGGGATCTTGAACCCCTTTGGCAGTTTGGTAAAGCCTATAGATGCCTTAGCATAATAAAGTTTTTAAATATATAAAATAAAATACACAGAATTCCAGAAAGGAAACCAATTATTTTGAAATATAGTTATTTTAAAAAAAAAAGTTCATTGACCTCAGGTTAAGAACCTGTGATCTATAGTCTTATCTCATTTGATAAATAAGGAAACTGAGGACCTGGGAGTGACTTAACTAGGGTCACAAAGCTAGTAAGCATCAGAGCTAGGACTAAATCCCAAATCTCCTGATTCCTAGACCGCTCAGTTAATTGGCACATTTCTCTTTCTATAAATTATACTATTCTTAACTCCTTATTGCTATTCATGGCATTAGGGGGACAGGTGTAACAGTGGTAAGGCTGTCTGCTTTTAATTTGGAGAAATAGGACAAAGTCTAAATAAGTCAAGGAGGAGTTATTTGATAAGAAAAGTCTTTGGCAGTGTCTGCTTGGGTTTAAACACAGGCGCCTTATGTCAGAACAAAGTAGACTATGGAACAAGGCACTGATAAAATGGATCAGTCTCATGTGTGTACATAGGACTGTCTCCTATTTACAGGGCATTTGGCAACCTTAAGAAATAGACATTTCCAGATGGGCCCCAAAGCCAAAGTCATCCTCTTGCAAGTTAGCCATTGCAGATTGAAGGAAAAGAGAGGGAATGTTGGGGTAGGGGAGTGAAGGGGTTAGGGAATAAAACAAAAGGGGGACTAAGGGAAAGACCATAGCAAAGGAGGGATGAAAGATGCCTCTTCACACACACATATACCTACCTTATTTCCAAGACCTCTGGTCTTGTCCTGGTGGTCCCTAATCTTCTCAGTCCCTGAAGTGTCCCTGCTGGGCAGCCTTCAAACCCTAGACCTCTAATACTGACTGGTTAACTCTTCAATCAGAATCCACCTGGAATCCTTACTCGGGGTGACTAGCTCCTGCCTTAGCCAGCTATACTAAACTTTTTTTCCAATTTGCTAATTCCATAAGCTTCTAGTCTCCTCTTTTCTTATTCTGGGTCTAGGAGATCAAACTTCTGACTGTACTTGGCCCCCCAGAAGTTCTTTGAGAGCAGCTGAGTATTTATTTTGTGTCCCCTCAGTACTCAGTATTGTGCTCAGCATAGTGGCCTCCTTGAATATTTCTTGTGTTCAAAGTGGAGTGTAGTAGTAGGCTGGAACACATAGAGTATTTGATCATTTGACCTAAATACCCCTTTTAATTTGACAGCTTCAGCTCCTTCCTTCCCTTTCCCAACCTTTTACTAAAATTATGGCGAGTAACGAGTTAATATTTATATGCTAGCCAAGTCCTTTTTGTATTTTATCTCATTTGAGTCTCACAACAGCTTGGTGAGTTAAGTGCTGTTATTATCCCATTCACAGATGTGGAAACTGAGGCTAAGAGAAAGGTTAAGTGCCTTGCCCAAGGTTACACAGTTAGTATCTTGAGACAGGATTCAAACTCAGGTCTTCCCCATTCCAGGTCCAGTACTCTATCGTCTCTACCACCCAAGGCAAAACAGAGAGATTTGGGTTTCTTCTTTATTTACTCTGTCCAGTAGACATTCATCTAAATATTACTCTTTGCAAGTAGAGAATTGGCCAGAACAAAGATGGAGGAGAGCAAAGGCGGTCATGCTGGCTTGGAAAGTCCCCCTGAACACTGTATGCAGAAGGGGGATTAAAAATCCAAAGGTAACAGCTTTTGAACTGCAAGTGACCTTAGAGACAACTTGATCCAAACCTTTTATTTGAAAGAGGAAACACCCAAAAAGTTCAGAGTGGATTTGTCCAGGCCCACTCAGACCTGGAGATTGTTTGCTTTCCTAAACACTGGAGGGCAGGGACCGTCTTTCGTCCCTGTTTGTATCTCCAGTGCTTAGCACAATGCCTGGAATACGGTAGGTGCTTAATAAATGTTTATTGATTGATTGGCTAATTGACTACTTAACTAGCTTCTTCTCCAAGAAGAGGCATTAAGTTATGATTGCCTCAACCAGGCACAGTAAGGAATGCTTTGCTTTGGAGTTAGAGAGTACCTGGGTTCACCTGGCACCTGTGACACTACTTGAGTGACCTTGGGCACCCATTTAAAACCTCTCTCACCTCAGTTTTCCCATCTGTAAAATGAGGGGGCTGCATTAGATAGTCTCTGAGATTTCATGTTAGTGCTAGATTTGTGATTCTAGGAATCTGCTTTCCAGGCTTCATTCCAGGGCCAGCCAGAGCCCAGGGTCAAGGGAAAAGAGGATTGTTTTCTGTCATTTCAGCAGAGATACTTCCTCAGGATAGGAACTGCTTGCTGAGCACAACAGTCCCATGTTACTTATTATAGGACCCTATTGTTCCATCTTGGCAACCTTGGCCTCTGTCTTTCTTGGGCCCATAGATTTAAAGTTGGAAAGGCCATCTAGTCCAGCTTTCTCATTTTACAGATGAGGAAACTGAGGTTAAGTGACTTGAACAGGTTCACACTAGTGGTGGCAGAGAACTAGAATTCAAAGCCAAGTTCCAGTGACTTTTTAAAATCAAGTTTTGTGCCTGCCCTGAAAAGAGTTTTCAGAAATCATTTGGCTCCCAGAAATCATCTGACCTCCGGGGAGACATTGACCTCATCTCAATTTTATGTCCTTTGCTCTCCCTGCCTTCCACTCCCCTTATCACCTAGGTAAGCAGAACTGAGCAAGTTTCTCAGTTGTAAAATCAAGGGGTTCGACCTTCAGTGGTCCTTCCCAGCTCTCACTTTTCTTGATTCTGTGATGTAAATACACACAGAAGCCTATCATCCTCCTTTCCCCATGAATCCCAAGGATTTCCATCAATGCTCAACAAAGAGTTAAATTGGGGAAGGAAAAAAAAAAGAGGAGGCAAGCCTGTCTGTCTTTGAATTCCCTGCCTGATTTTCATTCTGCTGGCTTATTTCACCTTTAAGTCATATAGTTTCTTGAAATGAATGACCTAACCTAGTTGGAGTGGAGGAGGGAAAGAAAGCCCAATTATCCTTTTCTTTTCTTTTTTTTTTTGTCCCTTCTGATTCCTCCCACTCTTACCCACTTTCCCCCACCCCACCCCCCCAAAAAAAAGCTACCCACATTATCTTTGGCTTTTCAGGGAACTGTCTGGGAAGGATTTTGGAAACTAAGTAGTGGCTTCTCCTTTTGGACCAGCCTTATTGAACTCTGACAGGAAAAGATAATATCACAGAAAGGAAGTAGACTGTTTTCTGGAGAACAAAAAGTAAGGGAAGGGGGAGGGGAAGAAAAGGAGAAGGGAAGGGAGGTGTGAGGCAGAAAGGAGACTTCTTTATTCTTTCTGGGAACCAAGTCATCACAGAAGAATGCAGGCTATGTTTAACTAATCGTCTTAGAGCCAGACTACGGCCAAATGGAGGTGTGAGTCCCTAAGGAAGTGTCTGGTAGCCAAGTTGCAGGAGAGCAGCCATATTGAATTCATTGGGGTGTGTCCATTAGTTTAAGAGTAAAGGGAGAATTTTTTGACTGCAAGGAGTTTGATTACCTATTCATCCAACATTACAAGCCTTTATTCACAATCCCAAGTATGAGCATAATGACCATTGGCCCACAGGCTCCTGATGTAAGAGGAACATGGACTGTCTTTCTTTTTTACTGTATTTTCTTAGATTTTAGTAGGTATCTGAGGGAGGGGAAAGGGTAGTATGGATTGGAGTTTTCTGCAGGCAGATGTTCTCTTACTCCAAGGATTTGAGGAATAGTAGAGGCAGGCAGTGGAGTACAATGAAAAAAACTCTGACTCTGGAGAGAGAGGATCTAGGTTTGAATCCTACCCCTGACACTTTACCTCGGTGATCCTGGGCCATTCATTTAGCATCCCTGGCCTCACTTACCTCATCTGTTAAGTGAGAGGTTTGGATTAGTCAGTCAATGAAAGTTCCTTCTCAGTGAGCATTTGGTGTTGTGTTAGTAATGTTACCTTATTTGTGAAATATGTTCTGGGGAGAGAGGGAGAGATCCTTGTGTCAGGATAGCCAACAAAAATATATGGAACTGGGAGTCAAGTCTTGACGTGAGGCCTGCACCTTACCAGGAATAAGGATCTCTCCTTCATAGTGTTAACCCATCTGTCCTTATAGAGAGCACCTGGGCATATGTGAATGGCCCTTGAGAAGCTAAAATGGTTTTGTCATTTAAGAGAGAAATTCTCACAGTCTTATCACCACTTCATGATGTAGAGAAACAAGTCAGAAAATGGGCTTGAATCTTGGCTCTCCCAAGATGCTGGTGTTACTTTAAGGAAATTATTTGTATTTTCTGAGATGAGGGAGTTGGAGTAGGTAATTTCTTTGCTTCCTAAAACCTAACAGTAATAGGATGCTAATGAAAACTCATGTGTGTTGCTCTTTAAAGTTTACAAATAATCCCCCCCCATCAGTCATGGTAGTGCAAATGGCCCCATTTTACAGACAAGCAAACTGAGGCTCAGAAAAGGGAAGCAACTTTCCTAGACCACTAGTGAATGCCAGAGGTGGTATTCAGACCCAGGTCTCCTGATTCCAAGTCCTGCATTCTTTCCTTTATGTTGATGATCTCAGAAAGAGTGCTTCATCCTCAACTGAAATTCCCCCAAAAGAATGAGAGCAGGTGAAAGTTGAAACCCACACAAGATTTCCCCAGCCCTTCAAAAGAGCAGGTAAGGCTGCTAATGAGGTAATGACTAATGGCTTCTCCAATTGTTTCTGAATCTCTTGTAGGATCTTGCAGGCTCAGGTGCCCCAGACTTTCCTACAGCAGCAGCAGCAGCAGCAACAGCAGCAGCTCCCACCACCACAGCCTGCCCACCCCCACCCTGCTGCCCTGTGCCACAGCCCCATGGGCTCCCTCACCCCAGCTGGGGTTGAGGCACTGATGTCAGCACAGGCTGCTTCCACCAACAGCCACCTGGCCCAGATGGAGGCCATTCTGAGAGACAATGAGAAACTACAGAGAGAGAATGAGAAGTTGCTGAGGGAATTTCAGACTTATAACGAGAAGGCGAGCCGGATTCAGAAGGTATGTTAATAGATGTGTGGTACTGGGTAGAGTGCCAAATGTGTGTACAGTGAATTCAGTATTTTTCCTTGGACTGAGGTCAGGGATGTCCCTTTCCAGAGCCACCGGTGCCTATGAGCTCCTTTGGCTGACTCTAGCTGACCAGTAAGGGCAAGCAGACCTAACACAGTCCAGGGATCCATGGAGCAATAAAGGATTTCCACAAGATAAAACAAAGAGATTAGTGAGAAGGTTCAAGTGAATGGGATTGGATAGAGTAAGAAAAAGGAACAGAAAATGGTGGTTTCCACTGTGTTTTAATGGTTGATCTCACAGTCCTAGTCCTCAAGCTCCTCACCTTTCCAAATTCACCCAGGGCATTAACACTCCTTAACAGCCCTCTATGCGAGCGTGTGTGAGTACGCGCGCGCACACACACACACACACACACACACACACACACACACACTCACACATACACTTCAAACAGCTGTGAAGCAGTAACATACAATACAAGAAGTCTGGAGCAGACACAGTTGTTGGGCTGATTAGAAAGAGACCATTCACCATCTCCCTTCACATTTGCAACTTTTCTCTGTCCCTCCCTCTGCAGGGCCTCCCACAGAGAGCCCTTTGTGTTAAGGTACACAACGGGAACTCTGTTTCAGGCCAGCTTCAGCCAAAGAGAGAGCCCTCCTCTCCCCCCCTCCATACCGGAACAGATGGGTGACTTGTAGGAATTCTGGAGACTCGAGGGAGCACGTGCAGAACCCGTAGTAACCTGAATAAAAATGGAAAATTAAGTGGGATCTCGACAGACTCCGGGTTCTTAACCTCTTTTGTCTCATAACCCCCTTTGGCAGTCCGGTGAAGCCTGTGGACCTCTTTTTCAGAATGATATTTCTAAATGCATAAGATAAAATAGTATTTCAAAGAAAACCAATTATACTGAAATAGAATCATCAAAATATTTTTTTTAAGAAGTTCCTAGACCCCAAGTTAAGAACCTTTGATCTAGACCCGATTTGTAGTTTCCCAGTGGTGGATGGATATGGCTGAGGAGGAGAGAAGACTGCAGAAAGAGGTGGAAACTGACTTGGCTGGTTATATCCTTAAGAAAATCTTATTTGATAGTATTTGCTCTCTCTTTTTTTCCATGACTTAAATTCTGAAATTGGCAACTCTGAAGTTCAAGACACAGATGGGGAAATCCCAGGAAGATGACTTCAGAGGGTGTTAAAGGCACAGGAGACTTTTTCCCATGTGGCCTGATAATAAAACAAGAGAAGGACACCAGATCCTTGACAAAATGGGCTGTCAGTGGGAAGGAGCCTAACTGTCCACATCCTCTCCTGTGCTTCGTGGGATAGGCTGGCCTGAAAATGAATACTTCTCTCTGGGAAGTTTTGCATTATTAAAGGCAGAAGTTCATAGTGATTCATGTCCAAAGGAGCCATGTAGTGGTTAGATATAAATCACCCCACCACCACATGAGCCTTCAGAGAGTTTTTAGATGGCATTATTTTACAGAACCATCAGAAAGGGACAACAAATTGGGGTCTTTCTAGAATGTACTCCATGAAAATCCTGGAGTACCTAATTTGTTGAGGTCATGTAGACCAATGATCTCACGATCCTGTAAAGCTGGTTTTTATTCTGAGTGTGGGACTTGATGGTGAAAACCATTAAAGCCAATTTTTCTTTTGATTCCTCAAGCAAGATATGTCTGTTCTGCTACTGGAAATGGTTAATTCCATTGATTTACACCTTCAGTTTTTATGCCTGTATCAAACAACCATTCTGTTGCAGACAGGAATGAGAATGCAACGATTTTATGTAGCTTCCTCCAGCTCCCCTCTCTGACTTCCCTCCTTAAGCTTCTCAGGGCAGAACAGTCCTCAAAAGAATTAACTTGTGAATCCAGTTAGACATAGAAGGTTTCAACAGTGTTAGAAAAGGAAGAAAAAAAGACTGAAGCTACTCATGATAACCTTAGTTATTGCTCTTCTCTGCTTTCCTGAGAAAAGACTCTGATCCCTTATGTCCCTTTTTGCTACCCCTCTCCCGCAGCTGGAAACAGAAATCCAATGCATCTCTGAGGCCTATGAAAACTTGATGAAAGCTTCTACTAAGAGAGAGACCTTGGAGAAGACCATGAGGAACAAGATGAGTGGAGAGATGAGGCGGCTGCAGGATTTTAACAGCGATCTAAGAGGTGAGAAAAAGTCAAAATGGTCAAAGGGAAGCAGTGTGGAAACAATTGCTGCCTATGACCCAATATACTCGGGGTGGGGGTGGGGTTCTATTTTCCCAAGATGTCTTCGTTTGCCTCCTCTACCTTGGGAAAAGTCTCAGAATCTCTACATTAAATCAAGTCAGCAAGCATTTGTTAAGTATCTGCCATGTACCAGGCACTATACTAAGTGCTGGGGATACAAAGAAAGAAAAACAGTTTCTGCTTTCAAAGAGCTCACAGTCTAATGGGGGGAGACAACATAAAAATGTCTCTTCACCCTAAACTCATAAATTGTATTGAGGACCTTTTCCTGGCATCCCATGCTGTGGGACTTCCTATTACTCCTCTATATTAGATACCAGCCACACTGCACGTTCTAGGCAGGCTCCTCCTGGAGGTGGGACTCATCTAGGCCAATGCCCCAGATGTGTTTTTAAAGCCTTGATGCATTTTCCTTGGAGTCACTACTAGTCGCTGCCATTGGAAAAAATATTGATCGGCTGTCTGGTCTCTGGACGGACACAAAACTCTTGACCCTTTGATGGTTTGTGGGTGAGCTCTTCTTCTGATTTGAATCAAAAAGCATTAGTATGGGAGTAAAAAGACCCTGACTCTAGTCCTGGCTGTGGCCTTAACTCTGTGATGTTGGAGAAGTCATTTCCTCTATATGGGCTTCATTTCTTCATCTATAAAATGAGAGGATTAAATTAGGTTATCTATGAGGAATATTCCAGCTTTAACTTTAAGTGTTTCTTAATTCCCATTTCAGCCAGGCTCAGTTCAAGTGAATTTTTTTTTCCTCATATATTTCTTGGGAAAAATTTGGGTTACAGCTTACCTAGACTCTGAAGAAAAAACTTTTTTTTCCTTCCTTCTCTTAACATTTCAAACAGAGAGGTTAGAATCTGCAAACAGACAACTAGCCAGCAAGACGCAGGAGGCCCAGGAGGGCAACCAGGGCATGGTGGCCAAGCTTCTGGCTCAGAGTAAGTACCAAATACCCTTTTCTGGCCTTCTTGTTGTCTTGGTGGGGCTTGGCTGGCTGAGGTGACACTTTTTGGCTGAGTATATAGCGTTGTGCTAGGTAGTGAGAGAGATACAAAAACAAACAAACAAACAAACAAAAAAACCCAAGTGTGTCCACAGTGGGGAGAAAGGGTGTTGTAGTAATCCAGGCATGAATGACATCATAAGGGTAATGATGTGGTGGGTAGGTTGGAAAGTAAAGTACGCAACTGAGAAGGACTTTGGAGGACGAAACCATGGACTTAATAGCAGATTAGCCCTGAGGGAAGAAGGAAAGGAAAAGACAACTAATATTTTCAACCTAGCTGACTGGAATAATCCTTTTACCACTTATAGAAATGGTAAAGTTGGGAGAGGGTTTCTGAATTTGAAGGTTAGTTTAGGCTGCTTGGGAAAGTAAAGAGTATTGATTTTGAAGATAGGGAGGAAAGAAGAACCAGCAAAGGATATATCAGAGGACCCGGGTTCAAACCCACCTGTGATGTTTAGTATAGGTATGATCTTGGGCTAGGTGGCCACTGAGGGTCCTTCCAGCTCTGGATCTGAGACAGTAAAAACTATGTCAAAAAAGGGATATGAGGGAGAAAGACCAGCAAAATGCTGTAACAAAGAAACCAAGTCAGGAAAGAGTTTTAAGAAATTGTCAGTGAGGGGCATCAAATATTGAAGACAAGTCAAGAAGGATAAATATAGAGAATAGGCCATTGATCTATTAATCAATTGATCTCATTGATCTATTACTTTCAGGGGAATGGTGAGGATATATAAAGTATCTAAATGAAAAGTGGAGGCAACAGCTATAACCCTCACATTCAAAAAGTTTGGAAATAGCAGGAAATATGTTTGGCTGTGAAAGGAAGGAGAAAAATTAGGTGGTAGATAGAATGGGTAGAGTCAAGTCAAGTATTTGGGTTTTTGTTTTTAAAGAGAAGGCAGCAAATATTTATTAAATACCTAGCATGCAGCCTGAGCACGTCTGGAGGCGGAAGGGGAGAAGCCCAGAGGACTCAAGTGGAGGAGTTCTTAGCTTAATAGAACTGGAGAGAAAGTACCTTCTGAAATTGAAGAGAAGAAAGATTGAGAGGAGAGATTTAGGAACAGATATGTCAAGGTGAAGGCAGGAGGACACAAGGGAGTACCCTTTTCGTCAAGTAAGATGTGAAGTTACTGTTTGGGGAGGTTTTGGTGTTAGGGAATTTTAAGGAAAAGAGAGAGGGTCTGGGACAAATCCTTCTGAGGGTGTGTGAGTCTCTGATGGGCCATGGTTCATCATCTTCCTTCCCAACATTACCTGTGACCTGAAAAAAAGTAGCTGGGGGGCGGTGATCCAGAATTGGCCATTGGTGACCCACAGAGACTTAGAGGAAGGCTAAGGTGTCCCAGAGGGCACCATTCAAATAGCTCAGGGTAGAATCTTGAGCAGAGAAGAGGGAGTGGGTGCCTGAAGTGGCCTCATGGACCAGGCATAGTGGGAGGGGTTCAGTGATTTAAAGGTCCTAGAGAGGGAGAGAAACATAGGTGTGGGAAGTGATAGGTAAAAGAAGGCAGGTAAAAAAGGCCCTAGAGAACTTAGCTGTGGAAAGGGTGTGGTCTTACTGGGGGTTGGGGTTAAGGGTTGAAAGTGGGCATGAATTCGGGTGAATACTGCATGGAGACATGGGATGGCAGATGGGGGATATAGGCTTCTGGGAATTTTGCTAGAAAGAAAGGAAAATGGTAAGGAGGGAGGCAGAGTAAGGTTTCTTTAAGGCAGCAGAAGAGGCCAATCTGCTCTTGAAAGTTTTTTGAGTTCCTCAGGGAGAACTAAGCTGTTCTTGGCACTTCAGCCCCAGTTATTAATCACCACAGCCATCAGTGTGACCTGGATTCTTCACATTCCAGAGGCTGTTCCTGCTCTTCCATTCTGTGCTCTCTCCTCCCCTCAGCTCAGTCCCAAGTCTGTTAGCTTCTTTCCCTTATTCTGTGTATTAATATGTGTGCATGTGTATGTGTGTATATGCATATATATACACATCCACATCTCTTTCTGTGTGTACCTATATTTTACCCAAGGGGCTTCAGTTTAGGGCCGGTTTCCCACCCCTGGGTTAGCCTTTAGGCTGTTTCATTCATGGTCTTACAGTAAAATTATTTAAAAGCATTTTCTGTAATTTTCTCTAAAAGTCACCCTATCACATCACCTTTCCCATTCACTAACCCACTTATTACAATTGTGCTCCTTCCTCCACCACCCCCTCTGTTTCACAAACTCACCCACAGGCACACAAATTGTTTACTTTGATGAAGTTTCCCTCCTTGAAATAAAACTTATCTTACGTTCTTCCATCAGGGTCCTGTTTGGGCCAGCTGAGAGAAGACAAAGTGTGACTTACTGATTTCCTCCTCCCACTCAGGTGCACAAGAAAGGGGGACACATCCTGAAAGAAAGCTCATTCTAAGAAAGGCTCTTGAGAACCTAGAACTGGGAGATTTGGGAAGGGGACATGTTGACAAAATTCCTTCTGCAAAATTTTAGTATCCTGCAAACAAGGCTGTGTTTCTTTGCCTAGTTTTCTAGCCCCTCACAGCCCGCAGGATGGAAACGTTTATTTTCACATCAAAGGTCTCCAGTGTTTGCCATGCTATTTTTTTTTTATCCAAGAGGCAGTAAGCTACCTTTTAAAAGGCAGACATTGTGGCAGTCTTTTCTTATAAAATTTAGATATGACATATGTGTACACACACACACATACATAAACACATGGCACTGATAATCCTGACTGAGAGCTGTGAACTCGAGATTATTTAATCATCTGGACACTCCACGTGGCTACTGTTCTAACATGAATTGAATGGCCCTGGACCAGGCCGCCAACTGGGAAAAGGTGTAGAGCAAGGTAGAAGAAGAGTCTCATTGGGCCCTGAAGTGTTTCCATCCAGAAACTCTCTTGTCTACTTCCCCATGTCCCCACAAAGATCAAACTTTTGGAGGACTGGGGGTAGGGGTGGGGACCAGGACATAAAGGGGAAATTCAGACAACACAAAAACAAAGATCAAAATATTTTTAAACTTTTTTTTAAATCAAACTCATTTTTCTTCCTCTGCTGACCTCTCCTCCCCCAAGCCTATTATTCAGACATTTGATGCTGTAACAGAATGAACAAAAAATTAAAACCTGTTTCCACATTTCCCCCTACAAAAAACCCCAAACTTTCTCCCAAAGAGCACCTTTTGCCCCAGAATGGTTTTTTATGCCTGTGTATACATCTGATGATTTCATAACAGAAGGAAACAAAGGGCTTGGTCTGGGATAGGCCTGCATTCCCCTTTCCGGCCCTCCCAACCTTAAGTAAACTAATCACTTAGGGCATTAGGGTATTATTGTATTTCCCAAGGCTCTCTTCTTTCCTAAAACTCTTTTGACATCAGAGAAAATGCAGGCTGTTTCAGCAGTCCCTATTACAATTGGACTTGTCTTTCAGTGAAAAAATCTGTTTTCTAAGCAGTCTCACAACGCCAGCATTTCTACCCCACGCCTATACTGCATGTTTGTTCCTTGCTCCCCTGCAGTTTCATATATTTGGCAGACTCTTGGCAAATAAGAGTGACAGGCAGTAGTGGAAATAGTCCTGGACTGGAGGAGTCAAGAGACCCGAGTTCTAGTTATGACTGTCCCTAATTAAACTCTACAACCTTGACCAAGTTATTGCCTCCTTGAAGAGACTTCGAGTGAAGAGATTGGACTGAATGAACTCTTAAAGTTGTCTCATGGAAAACTAAGACTGAATTGAGGGTTTGGGAGCTTGTCTATTTATTTATTTGTGGTGCCTTGGGATGTCAGTCCCTACCTTTTCCTTATTTTCCAGCTCTTGGGTTTTAGGGAAAATTCCACGTGCAGTTAAAGCCCTCTCTCCCTCCCATCATGGTCTAGGCCTCAGGGTATTTATTCTAGCTGACAGCCTGATCTTGGCCTCTTGACATATCTGGGAATTGACCTTAGAAACTTAATAGAATGCTTTTTTAAAAGCAAACAACCTCCCCCCCCCCAAAAAAAACTTCCCACTTGTCTAAATACATTTTTTGAGTTTTGATATTTTCACTAAAAATGAACCACCTTGTACTAAACATAGGCTTTCTCTTCTACAATTTTCCAAATTCATACTTTGTAAGGAAACACACATACTGGCTTGCAAAGTCTCCCTTTTTACCTTCCCCACTATTAAAATCCAATTCCAAGAGGGAATGGAAAAGAGCAGTTTCACATTTCTTAGCACACTGCTGATGTAGCATAAAGCACTGGCTTTGGAAATGGAAGAGTCAGCTCTGATGTTTATTAGCTGAGTAACTTTGGATAAGTCACTTGACCACTATGGGCCTAATTTTTCCCATCTATAAAATAAAGGATTGATCTAGACCAGTGGTGTCAAAACCCAAATAGAAATGGGGGCCACTATACAAGAGGATCCCTTACAGGCCACAGATTGACTTAATTTTAAAATATAATAATATTACGTAGATTTTATTGCATTTTATTGATTTGTTTTGTTAAATATTTTCCAGTTATATTGTAATCTGGTTTGATCTGCTCTCGGGAGTGTTGTGGGCCATGTGTTTGACACTTCTGGTCCAGAACATCTTCCAAGGTCATTTCCAGCTCTAAATCTTACTCCTTTGGAAGGAATTGACCCATTAGAATAAGTCTTTCTGCATATAACAGACAGGTCAGCTGAATGAAATGTGTCTGGGTGAAAGAACCCTCCAATAGCTACATCCCAGGAATCCTCCTGAAAGAAGCAGTCTTCCTATCATTTTGTCTCCCATCATGCCTTGTACATGTTAGATTCTCATCAAATCTTTGAACAAGGGAATGAATAGACGTCTTCTCCTTCTCTTCCCTCTCAGACTATGAGTCTCAGCAAGAACAGGAAAAGATGGAACGGGAGATCTCATTGCTCCGAAGCTCCAATGAGGACCAGCGGCGACGGGCGGAGCTGCTGGAGCAGGCCCTGGGTAATGCCCAGGCCCGGGCCGCAAAGGCAGAAGATGAGCTTCGGAAGAAGAAGGCATACGTGGAGAAGGTGGAGAGGCTTCAGCAGGCCCTGGGGCAGCTCCAGGCAGCCTGTGAAAAGAGGGAACAGCTGGAGCTACGTCTTCGGACCCGCCTAGAGCAGGAGCTGAAGACTCTTAGGACACAGCAGGTGAGTGAGTGACCTATGCCTGGGCTATACTTAAAAGTCGAGAAGACCTGCCACAGGCACTTACTTAGCAGCCATGAGACCCTGGACAAGTCACCTGCTAAGGTCCCTTCTAGCTCTAAATCTGTGACTAAGCCTCTTCTTCTTTGATCCCAACCCTCTCCCTACCCCCAAGGTCTATGTACATGGCTGGTATTTTTCTAACCAACCAAAAGTTCCTCTGCTCATTTGCCGGATGCTCAGCCCCTCCGACAAACTGATGTTGACATGAGCTCTGCCAACTGTTATTTGGTTAACTATGAGGAAATCGTGACCTTGACATCTGTTTTCCTCTAATCAGACTTCTCCATGTCCCAAACCACTTTGGGGACAGAATTGCTTCCCAGACTAAATCAATAGGGAATTGGGTTCTTCAGACTCTGTTTTAAAAGGGGGTGGGAGCAGGAGGGGTGGGGACAGTCAATTATCATGCTGAGTGGGAATATCTGCAATTAGAGGAAAGGTTTCTAGGCCAGAGAGTTTTAAAATATGACAACCAAGGAGAAGGTTCAGTAGGAGAGGAGTAGCCTGCTGGAAAGGAGTGCTGGACCTAGTGTCAAGAGAGCCTGCATTTGAATCCAGCTGTGTGACCCTGAGCAAGTCACTTAACCTCTGTTGGCTTCAGTTTCTTCATCTGTGAAATTCAGATAATAATAGCACCTCTACCTCCTAAGGTTATCGCGAGGATAAAATGAGCTAATTTTTTATAGAGTGGTTTGCAGACCATAATGTGCTATATAAATGTTAACTCTTGTTATTAACAGTAATAATAATTGTACATATGTATAGCATTTTATAGCTATAGGTCTTACCACCTTACATTCATCTTGGCCAGCTCCCTTGTTCTAGATGTATTATTTCATTTGATCCTCTCAACAACTCTATGAGGTAGGTAGTAGCATAGGTATTGTTATCTTCCTTTTACAGATGAGAAAACTGAGCTTTAGAGAAGTCAGGGACTTACTTAGCATCACTCAGCCACTTGACGTGACTCGTTTGACCCTTCCAACAAGGGTTGATAGCCTATGTACTAAATTCATTCTCTGTATTTGTGACCATTGACTCCAGATTTATTAAACTTCCTTGTGGAAGTCACTCTGCTAGGGGCTGGGGAAATACAAAGACAGAATGAAAAACACCCCCCTGCCTTCAGGATCTTGCCTTCTACCATCTGTAATAAGTGTCTCTCTTTCCTAATGTGCTCTTAGCAGAATTTTGGCAGTTAGCTGAAAGCTAGGAGGCATAGTGCAAAGAGTGCCGGACCTGGTGAATTCAAATCTTGACTCAGACACTACCTGTGTGACTGGCCAAGTCACTTAATCTCACTCAGCCTCAGTTTCCTCATCTGTGAAATGGAGATAATCACAGTCCCTACCTTCTAGGATTGTTGTAAGGCTCAATGAGATAACCTTTGTAAAGTACTTTGCATGCGTTAAGGTGCTATATAAATTCGAAGTATTATTATTACCATCACTCACAGAAGCACTCCTGACCTTACCCATAGTCTGTCCTGAGCTCATTTATGAGTTTGTAGGCAGTAAAACTTGCAAAAGGATCTAGACATAATTTGTTATTCTAAGACCTATCTGAAGGTTCCACCCTCAAACATGAACTTATTTGTCCAAGAAGGGGGAGGGATGAAGCAAGCTCAAAAGTGGGTCTAACTGCTTACCAGCCTCCTTTGATATCGGTCAGCTGCCAGTAGGTGACCTTAGCCTCATTTTGTGCCAATGCAGAGACAGATGGCAGCGCCCAGCAGCGGATCGCCCGAGCTCAGTGTGCCGAGGCTGGCAGAGCAGCTGAGGGAAAAGGAGGAGAGGATCTTAGCCCTCGAGGCAGACATGACCAAGTGGGAGCAGAAGTACCTGGAAGAATGTACGATGAAGCAGTTTGCCATGGATGCCGCCGCGACAGCCGCCGCTCAGCGGGACACCACCATCATCAACCACTCCCCTCAGCACTCTCCCAATAGCAGCTTCAATGAAGATCTCCTCCTCGCCAACCACAAACACCAGGAGATGGAGAACAGGTAGGAACTTGTGGAGGCACCTGGCCCTATTCTTCTCCCTGTACCTCCCCTACGGAAGTTAATTTGGTGAAGTGCTGAGTAAGCCCTGCAGTGCCAAATAGAATCTCTGTAGCTTTTAGTGAAACACAAGTTTGGGGCAGTTATCCTGATCACGCAAACCCCGGTGAGGCTTCTTTGACTGTAATGAATAACTGAAGTGTGGCATGATGAAAGGAACATTGGACTGGCAGGTGGGACACCTGGCTTCTGTCTGTGTTCCGCTACTAAGACCTTAGGCAAACCACTGGACTTCAGGTTTCTCACTGAGTATAAATAATGATAACAATAATAGCTAGATTTATATAACACTTTAATATTTTCAAAATGCTTTACAAACATCTCATTTGTTCATCACAATAACCCTAGGAGGCAGGTGTTGTCATTATCTGAATTTTACAGATGGGGAAACTGAGGCAGACAGATTAAGTGACTTGACAAAGGTGACAAAGCTATTAAGTATCTGAGGTAGGATTTGAATAGGTTAACAGAATAATAGCAGCTTTCATTTATGTAGTACTTTAAGACTTGTAAAATCCATTATAGACATTCTCTTCTGTAAAATGGAGATAATCACATGTTACCAATCTCATAGGGTAATGAGGTAAATGCTTTGTAAACCATCAAGTACTCTAGAAATATGGGCTGTTATATAGTATTCTTATGGTATAGTATGTTATTATACTTTAAAACCTATTCTCAGGCACAAGTAAAAACCCTAAAGGTAATCAGCAAACACTGTTTGTCAGTGAAGATGATGCTAATGATAGGTTTCTAAAGATTCATGTTCCCAGGATTATTCACTATTTGACTCTACAAAATTTATAGCACACTTGAACAGGTTAGTTTTGCCACCAGGTAAAATAGATATGGATAATAATAACAGTAGCAGTGTTTTAAAATTCTCCAAATGGTTTACATTAGTTTTCTCATTTGATTCTAATAGTGACCCAGTGAAGTAGGGAGTTTAACTCTCCCTAAAAATCCTACATTTTATATACGAGGAAACTGAGGCAGACTTGCCCTAAGTTTGCAGAGCTCATGAGTAGCATGAGGCCCCACTATCTTCGAACATTTTAGGCAAGAATCTGACTATGGTTCTGAAAATAGCTGACTGTTTATTTCTGAGCAGATGTCAAATGATTTGATGTTTCCAGCTGATTGGCATTTGATCCTAACTCTTTGGTCTGTGTGGGCAGATATAGGGCTTGGTTTTCACATGCATGGCTTCACTTCATCTTTGTACAGCATACCTAATTGGTGCCTCTGAAGGAAGGGCTGTGTAGGTGCCATCATTGAAGTAGACTTAAATCAATCCATAAGCATTTATTGTGTACCTATTATGAGCCAGCCAGTACTAGACACTAAATCTTATGCCTTTCCCATCCATTGCAAGTGATGAAGAAATGCTCTAACAGCTTATATAGGTCCTGTTTTCAGAATGTGGATTTTAAGCTGTAATTAGAAGTCAGAATGCGATTGTGTATCCAGAGGACCTATAGTGAACCTTGGTCATGAGAAAGCAGCTGTTTTCAGTCCAATCCAGCATTCACTTATTAATTGCCCTGTTATGCATTAAACTCTATGCTAGCCACTGGTAAAAACAAAGATGAAAGAAACAAATGCCTCTTGCCCTCAAGCTGCATGCATTCTTTTGACTTTTCTGTGGTTCCAAAAGGCACAAGGGAGGCTGAGATGGGAACATCTTCAAAAAATGTTGCTGTTGCTACTGTTTTTTTTTTTTTGACTTAGCATTAAATAGATGCTTTCTTTGCTTTCCCGAACCCCAGGTTAAAAGTGCTTCATGCCCAGATCCTGGAGAAGGATGCTGTGATAAAAGTACTTCAGCAGCGTTCAAGGAAGGACCCAGGCAAGGCCTTGCAGTGCTCTCTGCGACCTGCTAAATCTGTGCCATCCATCTTTGCAGCTTCAGGGACCCAAGGCTGGCAGGCGGTCTCAACCATCAGTGAAGGACAGTCTGATGGTCTCTCCTGGGGAGCAGCAGGTAAGAGGACCCTGGGAGAATGGAGTAATGTGGAGAGAATTTTGCCTTGAGGTCTTACACTAGTTTTTTCAAGGTTCCTATTTTATTTGGTTCATCTCATCCAAAAATCTAGGGACCCTGAAAGCAAGAGATTGAGCTCTCGTGAGCTTCCAAAGAAGATAGAGCTGCCCTACTAGATTAAGTGTGGTATAGTAGAAACACACTAGATTTGGAGTGTCAGGAATGGAGTTCAAATCCCAAATGAAAAAAAATTTGCAAATATTATTTGTAAAACACTTAACTTAGCAGTGCCTGACTTGTACCTGGCATATAATATAGCTGTTAAATAATTGCTTATTCCCTTCTCTTTCCCTAATGTTCCCCAATAAGTACCATTTTGTGAGGGTGCTGATGACAACCTTAAAATATCCTATGTTCTTCTAGGAGGTCGGGTCCCAGCAGAGGAGATGCCCACTGGCCCCCATCCCTCCCATGTCAAACATGTAAGCAAAGATGGAAGTACTCAGACTGATGGCCTTCCTGACAGTGTCGTCACCTCCCACGGGCATGGGCCTGAGGGCCTCCTGGGCTGCAACAGTGGTAGCAGCAACGGCAACCATGGTGGAGCTCTAACTGGTAAGTATTTCACCCTGTTGGGCTGCCCTGGTCACTTGTCCCTAACTCCGGGGAGAGAGAGAGAGAGAGAGAGAGAGAGAGAGAGAGAGAGAGAGAGAGAAAAGGGGGTGAGTGGGTAGGAATGGAAGGAGGAAGGAAAAGGAAATGAAATGAAATAAAACTTGTCTCCCCATCGTCTTCTACCAATCGTCTTAAACCATTGACATTTGATTGAGCCTAACCTACGTGATATGAGCTGGCCTTGACAACCATAAAGAGTTCATAAAGTGCTTGTATGCTGCTGTAGCTGAGATCATAGAAGCAAATTGTGATGGGGGTGAGGTGGAGAGGAGGGTGTAGAGAACAGAGAATGATGAAAGTCAAGAAGAAAAGGGATGTGAATCTGTCTGATGTTTCTTGCACACTGCATTGTAGAGATGAAATTCATCATTCATGAGGTTCATTCATTCAGCAAACATTTATTAAGTGCCTACTTTATGCCACCTATAAACCTACCATGCTAGATGCTAGAGATACAGAGACAACAGGACAGTCCTCATCCTCAAGGAGCTTACGTTCTTCTAAGGGTTGTAGACGACATATCAGACATGTCACATAGAAATAAATGTAAAATTATATTCCAAGTAAATGGAAATGTTGGAGTGGCAGCTGGGATCCGGAAAGGCTTTATAGACTTTAAAACTTGAGCTTAGCCTTGAAGGAAGGAAGAGGTGGAGGTGAGAAGGGAATGTATTCCAGGCCTGGAAAACCACACTGACCAGTTAGGCTAATGGCCTTCTCTAATCAGAAGAATTTGTTTTACAAAGGGACTGGGAGGGAAGAGCACAGAGGAGATTCCTTTTGTCTTCTCCTCTCCCGCCCCTTCAGTAGTAGAATCTACATAGTTCTGTCTGTGCCTCATCGGAGTAGAGAACCACAAATATGTGAAGAACTTCCAGCCTCCCCTCCCTCACATACTGCTTACACCCTCCCCCCAAAGCCTCTAGCCAAAGGAAAGGAGATAAACGTATCTGCGTACATTAGAGGCTAGGAGGGAGAAGGGAACAGATTCTTACATGTTCTTTGAATGAGCATTTCTGTCACCAAAAATGTCAGGGCAGGCCACCGTGTAGAAAGGAGAGGGCTTGTCTTAAAATGATGTTTGTATATTAGAAGAGGGAAAAATAAAGGCCTTGGGATATTCGCTCATATGTGTGTTTTCTCTTCCTCAGAGTCTTCCGCTACATCGAAGACTCAGGACATATCTGAGATGGTGGAAATCCTGATTTAAAGAAGCAGCTGGCTCCATGGCCCTCAAAATAGCTTCGTGCCCACCTCCGCAGATCCCATCAGATCCCTCTCAAACTACTAGCTCCCATCTTTCCTCTGACATAATCTGGGGAATCCTTCCTACCCTGTGACCTGGCTGGGGACGCGCTCACTCTGTTTGGCCAGTTTTAGGCCTCGGAGTTTGGAAGGAAAGTGATCAGGTGGGAGCAGAGCTGTTGTGTGATCTGCCTCCTACATGACCCATTGACCACAGTTCTCCCTGAACAAGCTGTTGGAAGTCATGGGCCCAGTCAGGGTTTGCTGGAGCTATCCGCAAATCCCACAGGCAGATAAAGAGATGCAAAGAGTTCAGAGAGGGGCTGAGCCCCCCTCTTGATCCTAACTTGCCTTGAACAATGAGAGGGAGGCAGTTAAGAGTGATAAGGTATGTGGGGAGGGCCGTGTGTGGAGAAGACACCCACATGTGGGTCCTGGAAGAACTGGTTGCTCAGTTTCCATGGAGAGCCATCTTGTTGGTAAAACCTCAAATGCAAGTTGCCTGAAGTCAGCCCGTGTTGTGTTTTCCTGGCTCTGCAAGATTCTTACTCCTCCTCTGTTCTCCAGCCCTGGCTTCTTCCCCTTTCATCTTACAAGGACTGGAATCTGGTGGGGTGGATATGGTTTTTATTGGTTTTATCAGCTGCTCCAGCCAGCTTGCTAAGAGGAAAAGTCCCTTAACACTCTTAGAATGGACCGTGTACCCTTAGGCGGCTGCACTAGGAGACATTGTCCTATTATTTGTATATAATTCTTTCTTGTGGGGAACAGTGGATATTTTTCATTTCAGGTTCTTTCCCACATGCTTTGTTTTCCCTTTCCCTGTCAGCTGCTCTCTTTGTCCTTTCCCTGTCCTGTTCCTTTATAATATTTGATTTCTTAAATTTTTTTTTAAATCCTTTTGAATGCGAACACTCTGATCTTTTGAAAGTTTGCCATCTTATCCTTTTCCTCCATTTTGCATCCTGTTTCTTTCAAACATTAAATATCCATCTGGAGAGCCCTTCAGATGCCATTGCCTGCCTTTTGGACAGTCTCCACGATTCCTGTCAGTGGAATTTCCCTTCTGTTTGTTTGGTTATAAACCATGAGCCAAATGGAATGTATCAGTGTGAGTATCTGAGTGTAGTGGGTGTATCCCAGTGTTCTCTCCTCTCTCTCTGTTTCCATTCAGGGGACAAATGGCAGCAACCATCTTAAGTTCAGCTGACTTTTTTTTGAGGTCACAGAACCCTGAGCTGGAGATGGGATTATGCTTTGGGAAAGAAAGGAAAAAAAAAAAAAACACCAGCCACAACAGAATTAGGAGAAGAAGAAAAAAGGACTTCCTTTTTAAACAGGCAGAGGATTAATTGGATTTTTAGCTGCACATTTTGATCCCCCACACTCTGGAATAATACCAAATACACTGATATTGTATAAGTGAAAATTCTCTTAATGTGCCCTTTGCTACTGACAGCTGGCTTCTGACAGTAGTGGATTTTGACTTGTATATAAGTCATACAGCTCAGACCCCAGGAAAAATAATGTTTCCCTGGTTTGTCCTTCCAGTTTTCAGCTCAATCTGCATATCTATCCCTCTCTTTGTTTTTAGATTTTATATATATATGTATATTTTTTCCTGGTTCCTTAAGTTTTCTTTTAAACCATCTGTGCATTTGCTGGACAACTGCATTTTTTATTGTCTACCCTTCCCTACACGCTTTAAAATGGATTTGGTTCCTGTGCATTGTTTACAAAGCAAAAACAAAAAGCAAAACAAAGCGGAAAAATATTGTGAAAGAGGAAGACAACTTAATATATTTTGGATTAATATTGGTATTTCTTTTAAAAGTATTTTTTCGTGCTGTGAACTTTTTCTGCCAAAGATAATGATGTTTGTTTGTATGTTTTAAGTTATCTTAAGTATTTAAAAATGTAAACTTGGCTGTGTTGCTGTGCCGCCCTGTACCAGGATTGCTGTAGCATTCCACTTGGTATAACAGTATTTTAATTAAAAAAAAAAGTAAAAATGTTGAAACAAGCTGTTCTCTTTGTTTTTATCCCTGCATGGAGAGAGACCCTGGGGCAAAGAGATCTGAACTCCAAATCGTAACCTTAATCAGATTCATTCCAGTCATGTTTTAAACAAAGATCAGGATATTTTCATGAACAATCAATACTAAATAATTGCTATTTTCTGAAAGTGAGGTGGGCTACCTTGGGAGGCTTTGAAGGGGCAGGTGCAGGCTAAGGTAGCCCCTGAGATCATTTCCAACTAGGAGAATCTAGTTTATGTTGAATAAATTAGGGGCAGCTAAGTGAATAGTGCGTTGGGCCTGAAGTCAGGAAGACTCGTCTTCCTGAGTTCAAATCTGGCCTCAGAACACTTTTTAGCTATGTGACCCTGGGCAAGTCACTTAACCCTGTTTGCCTCAGTTTCCTATTCTAAAATAATCCAGAGAAAGAAATAGCAAACCAGCCTAATATCTTTGCCAAGAAAACCTCAAATGGGATCACGAAGAGTTAGAGGACTGAAATGACTGAAGACAGAATGATGCTGTACTGGGAAGGGACTCATCAGATTCCCTAAATATTCTCTATTCTTCAAGTTGATTGAGGAATTAATCAAATTGATCAGGGATCTCCTCTGGCTAACTTCTTATTTATTGATGTCTCTGGGATGTCTGTAGGGGCAATGGGCTGGCACATTTGGTCATAGGCATCTATTTGCAATGCACAGGTAAAATTGGGCACAATCACCTGGGAAACAAAAGGCAGAACTTAAATGTTTAGTGATGTAGCTTAAAGGAAAGGTGTAAAATGAGATTGTTCCCATTGGATTTTAGCCCAAGGAGGAGTGAGAATGCATAGGAATGTGTTTATATGCTATATTGCTCCCCCTTGCTCTCCCCTCCCTGCCCCACCCTTTCAAAGGTAGCTCTAAAGCCACCTCCTAAATGAGGCCCTTCCCAATTCCCACAGCTGCTTCTGCTTCCTTTCTCAAATGAAAAAAAGTCTTTGCCCTCAAAGAGCTTACATTTTACCAAGGGAGAAATAAGTACCCAAGTAAATATGAAATATTTGCAAATAAATATGAAATGGAGGTTGGGGACAGTCAGAGGGAAACAATGGGCTGGTGAGAACAGGAACGTCTTGTAGGAGGTAACACTTAGTCTGATCCTTAAATGAATCCAAGTCAACTAGCATTCACTAAACACATATTCCAGTCACTGAGTGCTAAGGGGAAAAAAGAGGCCAACAGTCCCTGCTCTCGGGGAGCTCACAGTCTAATGGAGAAACAGCATGGAAACAACCTTGTACAGAAAGAGATAGAGGCAGAGAGAGAGAGAAAGATTGGGTGGATGGTTGGATGGATGGATGGATGGATGGATGGATGGATGGAAAGAATCAAGGGTAGTCTCAGAGGGAAGACACTAAGATTAAGGAAGATTTGGAAAGGCTTCTTACAGAAGGTAGGACTTCAGCTGAGATTTGAAGGAAACTACATAAGCTAGAAGGGTGAAATGAGGAGGGACAGAGTTCCAGGCCTGGGAACCAGCCAAGGAAAACATTTGGAGTTAGGAGATGGGGTGTCCAGTTTGAGGAAAAGCCAGGAGGCCAGTGACACTGGATTGTGGAATATATTGGGAGGTATATAGAAGACTGAAGAAGTAGGAGGGGGCCCAGCTATGGAGAGCTTTAAAAGACAAATAGAGGATTTTGTATTTTATGCTAGAGGAAATGGAACCACTGGAGTGTATTGAATGGGAAGAGGAGGGACATGATTAGACCTATGCTTTAGGAAGATTACTTTGACAACTGAATGGAAGATGTACTGGAGTAGGGAGAGACTTGAGGCTGGGACACCAACCATCTACCTATTGCAGTAGTTCAGATATGAGGTGATAAAGACCTGCTCCAAAATGATGACAGAGGAGAAAAGGAGGCGTATATTAAAAATGTTACAAAGCTTGGAAACTGATTGGATATGAAGATTGAGAGTGAGGAGTTAAGGATGAAACCCAGGTTTCTAGCCTGTGTGACTGAGAGGATGGTAGTACCCTCAACAGCAATATGGAAGTTAGGAGCAGAGGAAGGTCTGGGTCAAAAATAAGAGTTCAGTTTTGGACATACTGAGTTTAAGATATCTATGGGACATCCAGTTCAAGATGCATACTAAACATTTGGAGAAGCAAGACTGGAGACTGGGAGAAACATTAGATCTGTCTCTAGTAGACAGTAGACAAGTAGATCTGAAAGTCATATGTGTAGAGATGATAATTGAAACCATGGTAGCTGATGAGGTCACCATGTGAACTTGTATAAAGAAAAGGAGAGGGTCCAGGACAGAGTTTTGAGGGACCGCAATGGTTATCCAATGTAAACTTGATGAAGATCCAGGAATAGAGACATAGAAAGGCCTGTGGTCAGATAGGCAGGAGGAAAGTCAGGAGAGAACAGTGTCAGGGAAATCTAGAAAGAAGAAATTATCAAGGAAAAAGGAGTTATCCACAGTATCAAAGGCTATAAACAAGTCAGTAAGGACAGAGACTGAGAAAAGGTCATTAGATGTGACATAAGAGATCATTGGCAACTTTGGAGAGATCATCTTCAGTTGATTGATGATATTAGAAGCCAGATAAAAAAGTGAAGAAGAAAGGGAAAATATCTATTGTAGATGGCTTTCTCAAGGAGTTCAGGCACAAAATGGAAGAAAGATGTGGGACAAGAGCAAAGATGACGGATGGATCAAGTAAGGGTTTTTTGAGGGTGGGGGAGTTATGGGTATGTTTGTAGGCAGTAGAGAAGCAACCAGTAAACACAGAATGATTGAAATTAGTAAAAAATAGGAAAATAAGGGGTTAGACTAGTTGAAGACCTGGCACATTTTAAGTTTTTAATGCAAGCTTCTTTAATTGCCTTGACTAAGACCCATTACGGCTCTGAATTCTATGATCATTTCACTCATTACCTACCATTGCCCAAACTCAGCATAGATTGCTAGGGATGGGGAGAAGGGATATGTGGATTCATAGCTAGTTGGTAGATTTTCGTTTCTGTCTGTGATTTAGTCCTAATATACTGTGGATGAGGTGGAGTTTTTCCTTGATTTTGCTAGGTAGGCACCCAGAAGCTTTTACACAAGCAGGGCTAGATTATCTTTGGCAATGTTTGAATAGGACCCAGAAGCTTCATATCATTTCCTCTTTCTGTACTGTCTGCCAAGACTAGATCTACAGGAATCTTTCTCATCAAAATATTGGTATCAAATAGGGTGAGTTTAAGTGATTATGTCCCCAAGGTAAAAAAAAAAAGGATAGATAAACCACCTTCACATCCATCATATCCAGAATCCTCACGTGTTCACAGTGGGCTCTCCTTTCAAGAACCTCTGATCCTTACAGAGGCTACACAGACAGTTGGGACTCTCTGTGGCCAGTAAAAAAACAATGAAACACCCACCTTCTCCACTTGCCAATGCTGGCCTCAAAACTAATAGTAGTTTCCATATATATTCATTAGGAGTGTTGGTGGTATTTTTCTTTTTATCAAGTATCATTTGAGTTTTTCTTTAGGGCAGATAGGGAGATTGAGTACATTCCAAATGGCTGAAGCATGTAAGTCTTTAAGGTGCAATATGAAAGCCTATTTACATGTTCCTCTCACTCTAATAACCCTTTCTTGGCAGGAATTGCACAATAAAGTTTCATGGGAATAATAACAACCATAATAACTCACATTTTTGTGGCATTGTAAAAATCTACAAAGTCCTTTCCTCACAAGTTACAGGGAAGCATATTTTGGCTCAGTAAAAGAACATTTTGATAGAAGTATGGATTTAGGAGCTGGAAGGGGCTTTAGACTATTTTTTTTTTTTGGCTTGGCAATTGGGGTTAAGTGATTTGCCCAGGGTCACGTAGCTAGTACATGTTGTGTGTCTGAAACTGGATTTGAACTCAGGTCCACCTGACTTCAAGGCCAGAGCCCTACCCACTGTGCCACCTAGCTGCCCGTGGAAGGGGTTTTAGAGATTATCTAGTCCAACTCCCTCATTTTGCAGAGGAGAAACTGAGCCACTGAGAGGCACAGAGTCACACAAGTTTGTCAGCTCACAGGCATAGTTAAGTAGTAGAGCTGAGATGCCAAATTTAGTGCTCTTTGTGCAACATGCTACCTCCCTAACTGCTCTTCAATGAAGGGATAAGCAGATTTTTGAGTTAGTGAGGCCTCAGTCACTGAAGGGAAATAATGCAGTGATGCATTGGAGACTTCTTCCTCATCCCCCACCATTTTTTTTAAATGATAAAAATGTTTTACTGTAAGTTGATGAAAATATTTGGATATAATTGAAATTATACAATATCATCATTGCTTAAAATAAAAAGGTAGCTATTCCTCAAAAGTTAAATAAATAAAATGAAAAAAAAAAGTAAACTAATAAATACATGTTGTTCAGTAATACTCATGATCATCTCCTCAAATTACTTAAAACATCCTGAGTGGAACTTCATCCTTCACCATTTAAGAAGGGCTCTCAGGGAATTCTCCTCATCATTTCCCAACTGGCTACTTTCCTGGACTTTATGATCTCCAGAAACTCATCATTCTGCAAGATGAAATCAACTCTGAAACTCTCATCTCCTCAGATTATTTCCTTCTGTTGCTGCAAGACATCAACCTTTCCCTCCCCCCTTTTCAGCTTTTTTTTTTTTAGGTGTTGTCTTCTTCTATTAGATTGTGAGCTCCTTGAGGGCAGGAACTTTCTTCTGTTTTTCTTTGTGTCACCATGCTGTGCCTGACACATAGTAGGTGCTTATTAAATGTTTATTCCTTTGACTTCATGCTATTCATATCTGCCCAAAGAGTTATTAAACTGCCTATGCCCTTTAACCCAGCAATACCACTACTAGGTCAATTTCCAAAGATGATTAGGAGAAAAAGAAAAGAACTTATATGTTCTTAAATATTTATAGCAGTTCTCATTGTGGTGGCAAAGAACTGGAAATTGTGGGGATGCCCATCAATTGGGGAATGGCTGAA